ATATATATATATATATTCTAAAATTACTAAATTTTTAATGAGAGAGATTAAAATTGTACAATTATAATAGTTGAGGGACTAAAACTGTTCAATTAAAAATTAAGAGACTAAAGTCATACAATTACAATCTTTTAAGGACTAAAATTACTCAATTAAAACCTTGATGATCAAAGTTACAAAAAAGAATGAAAGAAATAAGAAATTTATTATGTTTATTATTTTATTTGTATATAAAAACTTTAAATAACACTTAAAATGAAATAAATGCAATACAATAAATGTTTCTTTATAGTTACCATGTAAAAATCAAATTTATTAATTAGTTTTAATTACTTCATTATATGTTAGATTTTGGAATTTGGATCCTTTCCTGCAATTTTCTCTCTCTAACCTCTCTCCTACAACATTAATAGTCATGGGATATATTTAATAGCTCAAATTTAATCTTATAATTAATGTAACTTCTTAAATGATTAAATTTGAGCCATTAGATATATCTAATGACTATTAATGTAGCATGAGAGAGGCTGGAGAGAGAAAATTGCAGGAGAGGATCCAAATTCTAGATTTTGTGTGATTTATTTCGATTTTCTGGTAATCCAACCTTAAAAATTCTAATTACTACACTAATCTGGAAAAAAAATAGTGCACAACTTTTCATGTTGGAATTATAATAACCAAAATTTTGAAATAAAAAAATATTGAAACAACCAAAAAAAATTAGAACTAGAAGAAATACTATTGTACAAATTATTTTCATTTTCTATAAATATATTTTAAAAAATTGATGTCCAATTTCAAAAAAAATGTTATTTAAAATATTTAATTATTCTTAAAATATAGGTTAAAATACTAATTTGGTCCCTTATAATATTTTTTTGTTTCAATTTAGTCTCACTTTAATTTCTGGTTTCAATTTGGTCCCTAATAATTTAAATTACTGCAATGTCAAACTTCCGTCCAAATTATTTAAATGGAGTTAACAGTTGGCCACGTGGATGCATAGGTGAATACCAAATTTCTTTAATGCATCTAGAACCAGAACGGCCCGTTCTGAAACCAGAATTGTAACACCCCAGTTTTTATTTCACTTTTTATTTATTTTAATTGAGGATATTTTGGTAATTGTATAAAGGTATAGGGGTGATTTAGTAGCTTGGAACGGGCCGTTCCAAACTACCAAAAGGTATGTGATTTAGTAGCTTGGAACGGGCCGTTCCAAACTACCAAATTGTATGCGAGTTAATAGCCCAGAACGGGCCATTCTCAAGTGGGAACGGGCCGTTCCATACTTTTAAAAACTGCGTTAATGATACCATTAGATTCTGTATGTGTTGAAGATTAGAAATATATATTTAATTTGTAAGAATGATGATCAGGGAGAGAGAACGAAATTGTAGAAAAGTGCATGTGAGCTAGGTTTTGGACCAATTGGGGGTTTTATTGTTTATGTTGAAATTATATTAAATTGGTAATTCCGTTGAGTATTATATTAATTTATGAATGTTATTGTTATATTATTTGATAAAAATTGATGAGTTAGATGTGAATTGTTTGATGTGTATGAAACCCATTATTTTGGACTTCTTTGATGTGTGTATGAATTTGAGCTATGAGATGAGATGTTGTATGGATGTGAATATGATTATGATTGTGGTTCCTCACATCAATGACTAGGGATGGTATGGCCCCTAGGTAAGTGATGCTACAGGGAGGGCGTGACCCTAGCATGGTGTGGGATGAGTAAGACAGTTAACACATATCACTTATGTCAAATATGGCAGCCCTGGCATAAGGTTAATTGTAAGAGATTGTGTGGATTGTGATGTGATTGTGGTTCCTCACATCAATGAACAGGGATGGCACGGCCCCTGGGTAAGTGATGCTACAGGGAGGGCGTGACCCTGGCATGGTGTGGGATGAGTGAGACAATTAACCCGTATCACTTATGTCAGTTGTGGCGTGGCCTTGGCATAGTGTTAATTGTAAGATT